GATATGTGATTGTAGGCAACTCTATTTTGAGAGTGTGTTCACATATATGACAAAACATAAGCATTTATTAAATTTCCTCCCACATGACCATCACACCAGATCCAAAGATCATTCACTACGCATACCAAAGCCTAAAAAGACCATAGGTCAGAGGAGTTTCACTTTCCTAGGACCAAAAATATATAACTTAATCCCCCTTCAGATAAAAGATATTAAAAATACAAAGGTTATGAGAAAGCATCTAAGACTGTGGATTTTGGACTAGCATAGGCTCAAGATTTATCAAGCGATTGATATCAAAAATATCTACTACTACTGAAAGCGGAAATCTCTCTCAAGATTATTGAAATTTCAAAATGAACAAAAATAATGTATAAATCAAACTGATTTGAATTCTTATTTCCTGAATTATGGCATTTTTTGACTTATTTTTACCAATATTTGTTCTTGTCTAATCACCTAATATTGTCTTTTGTTTCAATATTGTCTCTATCCCGATTACGTCTACGTCCCGATTTTGCGTCTCCGTCCCGATTGTGTCTTTTTAAGAATTTTACCAGGACTTATCTAATAAATTTTATATATATATATATATTTTTTTTTGTTTTGTATTTTTTTTTTAGTCTTAAGTTATTTATACATGAGCTCATGCCCAAGCACAAGTTTCTGCGAAACTCTTTTGGGTCCATCCGTTTATTGTATAATATTGTCTTTCATCTACTACTGCTATACTTTTTCTTTTGCAATAAACTTATTATTATTATATGAAATGTTAACAGGACCTACATAAGCACAAGAAAAATATATACATGACTAAATTACAATAAAATAGATGATAACAAGTTAAAAAATAAGTAGCAGAAGCAGTATGCTTGTTTACATGTAACTCAAATATCTTTCTTCAACGAAAACGTTTTTAAAAAGATTTATTTTTGAGAAAAAACAAATACAATGATGTTAATTGAATGAGTTCTGAATCGAGACTGACTGCAAAGTTCATTATACTAACCAAAGTAAAGAACAAATGAAATACAATACTGTAACTGATAAGAAAGGAACGTGGAGGCAAAAGTCCTTGTTCAGCATATTCTTCTCTGTAGACTGGTACATAACTTGTATAAATAGTAATAGTAATAAATATGTAATTTTTAAAAATCATAAAACTCCTGTAGATAGTAAAAACTCTTAGGGTACAAGTATTTTAAAAGATGTTCCTTGAAGACATTCAAGTCATTGATGGCTTTTAGCTTGGAGGGCAAATTATTGAAAATAAATTCACATAGGTAGTCAGGTATGTGTTGATGCTATAGTTGTTGAATTAGATTAGATTAGATTGTATCTCCGGGACTCTTTTAGGTGAGTGATTAAGTTGGTCTTTATTTCACGAGTTACAAACAACTATAAGAACCCCTCTTTGACGTTTGTGGATTTGTGATATGAATCTGTGTCATATATGTACATCACATCACTAATACCCTAAACTGTTCACCTATTCATTTCAAGGCTTACTTCGAAAAATCTGTTTTTTTTTAAGAACTAACGCTGGAAAATGCCAATGTATGTCTTATTATACATTTTTTGTAACAAAATCAAAAATCCTATCCGCCCATGCAAAAAACCAATATGGCGTCTGCGAAAAAAATAAAGTTGATGATTAAGGACAAGACACAAAACGCCTCATCAAAATTCTGATCATACCGTCATGTAGAGAAAAAACAGTGGTAATGTTGATGTGCTTTTTATTTTGAAATCCCATCTCAAATATAAAGTTATAGATGAATAAAACTGTTTTGAGAAGAACCGGTTTCTTTAGTTCGCCGGAAATATTTGGAGTTGCGAAACTTTCTAAGAGCAATTTTCTCAGTTACTCAAACACGCAACTTTGTCCCTATTTGAAAAACTTCATCGAAATTGAAACACCCGGTATATCACGTTACATAAATCATACCGAGACGAAGATAAGGTAGACACGCAATTAAAAGAAGAAATATATATTACTTTGGACGTATACTTAGAAGCGAAAAGTATGAAATCCTGCAGAATGAAGCGGTACCTGTTGTCTGGAAAATATGTGGCAGTGGAGAGGTCTGACTTCCGTAGGATCATTTAGGTCAGCGGTCAAAAAGGCAAACGTTGTGTCATTGAGAATTATAAAGCTGTTGTGATTATAAGCAACGTTGGTAAGGTTTTTTAATGTATATTGCATGATATAATTTTCTCCCATGCTAAGCACGAAATTTCTCCAAATCAACATGGTTTTTTAACTAACCTAGGGTGTTTTAAGCAGATTTGCTCTGAAGTTGTTGATGAAGGGAGGTAAGTAGATATTGCTTACGTTGACTTTTCAAAGGCTTTTGATAAGATAGATCACGGTATTTTGTTAAAGAAATTAGCTACTGCGAGAGTTGACCCATCAATTCTTGAACTTTTTCAAATCTTATGCTTGAAAGTAGAATACAGGGGCTTCACCTCCACTCCGATTATACCTTCTTCCGGTGTACCTCTTGGCCCCTTGCTCTTCCAAATTTTCATTGATGATGACGTCGTTGGGGAGCTACACAGTAGCTGTCTTCTATATGCAGATAACTTGAAGATTCTTTGTATAATTGAAACCATGGACGACTGTAATATACAGGCTGACTTCGAAGTTGAGTCATTTATTTTAACAGTGAGTAGATCTGATCAAAAGAAATGCTTTTTTCCTTTAACATTTTTCTGGTAAAATTAAAGTAACAAAGTTATAGCCCCTTAGAGGTTTGAGTACCGCCCTGTCTCAATAATAATATTATGTGCTCGTGTTTGGCAACAACGGATATAATCCGCCTTATCGGTTTATCGCATCGGAAACAAAAAAGCGAAAGAATTTGAAACGATGTTTTTACTACAATTATTATTCAGTTGTATTCAGTCAATGTGTCAGTCGGTAACGCGTGAGTCTATAGTGGTGTTTGTTGCGTGGCTCAAACGAAGTAAAAAATGGCACATGTTTACGAAAATGCTGAACTTGTGGACATGATTCTTATTCTTAATCGAGTGCAACCAACCCCTCATGCCTTTGTTAATGTAGTACAAATGGCTCGTGAATGAGGAGACTTAAGACCTCACAGGGGAGGGCATGCCGGTGCTCCTAGACCGCACGATCAAATACAGGTCCGCACTGAAATACTTGTCGGGAGGATACTTCATAAAACAAGGTAACATTTTTTTTTATTTTTTTTTATTTTTACACACATATTTTGGTTTATCTTCCTTCTACAATCATTATCTGAAAATTAATGACTCAACTTCAAAGTCACCCTGTATTGAAAAATGACTTGAGCAACCTAGATAACTAGTGTCACCGTAACAAGCTGTACCATAATTCTGATAAATGCTACGGTAGGTTTAGTACGCGCAAACTTGTTCCAATCAGATTCATATATAACACTGATAATTCGCAAATTAGCATGTGTGGAGGGTTTCATGACTTAAGTAGGTATATTCTTTGATACCAAACTTACATTTTTTTGCATATTGATGCTGTTGTTCGCAAGGCCTATAAAAGTTTGGGCTTCATTATCAGGAATTGTAGGGATTTCAATAGTGTGTATACCATGATCTAGTTATATAATTCATTTGTTCGATCCAAAATTGAATACTGCTCTATAATATGGTATTCTGCTCATGAAGCTCACTTGAATAAAATTCAACGTATTCAGAGGCGGTTTGTGAAATATTTGTGGCACAAGGAAGATGATACGTATCCAGAACCTGGCTTCAGGCAACTTAGCAGATATAACCTGTGTAACTTGGAGAAGCTCAAAAGCTACGCTGCTTGTTTATTTTTATATAAAATATAAAATGCTTAATAATGCCCTAGATTGTGAATATTTACTCGGAAGATTCTTATCCTAATGCTAAGACGCGATCCAATTCAAAATACTTTTACTTGAACGTAGCTAAAGCCAATGCGTTGCTTTCCTCTCCGATATATGTACTATGTAAAAACTATGAACGTGAAAGAAACGCTGTAGATCTGTTCTTTTGTAATTTCTGTAGCTTAAGAAGATTTCACATAACAGTAGGTTAAGTCATTTGTCAATTTTAAGGGATTTTAGAACAATTTTGTCTTAAAATTGATTCCTGTGTCCCTATCCGTTAAATGGGGTAATAAACCCTTCGGATAGTATATATACTGTTAAATAAAAAAATAAAATAAAAAAATAAATTATTAAAATCAATTTGACTTTCCACATTAATGGTAATGGTAACTAAAGCCATCGGTTCATCTTTTCTCATCACTGAATATGACATTATACCATTCTATTGTCCAATGCATTTTCTCACGGTGAGGCGTTCGGTATAATGATAATCTGTCAAAGCAAGCTTCCCTTTGACTTTTAATCGTTTAACATTAGGACACTTTGTTGCAATTCGCTAAATTATCAGTAGGGATGCTTAAGTTCCCGAAACATCTGCTATTTATCTAGCTGACAAACTGTAATTTGAAGTATCTTGCAGTATCAACCGACGTTCACGATCAGTTTTGATTTTAAGCGGCATCTGAATGCTTTTATAATTTTTGGCTTTCCAGACAGGCAGAGACTAAATGAGCCATTGAAAGCCAGGATGGTCCAAGTCACAAAAGTACGTTTTCGAGATTTAAGGCTTTAAAGTTTAGATGCGGCTGATAAATGTAGAGTAATAAAACTGCAGTAAGAAATCAAAATACCATTAAAGGTAGAATCAATTTAAGTATCTTATCATAAAATACATGAACATTTTGTGTTCATGTGTTTTTTTTCATATGTTTAAGCTTTAGCCCACTCTGCCTTAAAACGGTTCTTACCTTTGGTTTCATGCTTGTATAACGATTATAGTAAAGTAGAGTATTAAAGTAGAGTTACACAACATTATATGAATTGATAATTTTATTACAAAACGACAGAAATCAATCTCCATACATTAAAAAAATAATGTATATTTTCTACACAAAAACTACTGTAGGTACTGACGCGACCTTATGGAATTTCTGGAAATTCTCGAGTCTGTTCGCCTTCTCCTTCCTCTTCTTCAGTAACAAGCAGTGGTCCGGCATCTGGAAAAGTTGCATCTATCTTCAGATTCTTGAAAAAACTGCGATGAACTGGTGGTGTGAACTAAAGAAGCTCTTCCATGTTTTTCTTCTTTTTGTCGTTGACAGGAAGAGGGGATTCATACAAAGGAGGTAGGTTTATATTTTTGGGTGCGCCTTTTCGATTTGGTAGTAAATTTATAAAATCATATGGAGATTCTTCATTCAAAGTTTCTTTATAAAAAATTTTGTAAGGTTGTTTTTTCTCAAAGTGTAGCCACTGGATCTGGAGCCATGATACAGTGGCATTAGTACCATTTTTCTTCCGTCTTGTTACAGCTTTCTCTAATGTTGTTGATAAGAAAAAATCAGACCGTTCCATCTCACAGACATAAAAGGGTTTCCTGGGTATGCATGTTCTTATTGTTATACCAGTCTTCTGGCACGTACTTGATGCTATTTTTTGCCGGCTTGACACTACCATTGAAAACCAGAGTGAGTTAAGTCACACTTGTCCCATTCTGCCTCATAACGGTTACAGCTTTCCATTGACACATAAAAACAGACTGGTGCCATATGTGTGCAAAACGAAAAGATACATTTTTCAAAACTCTCCCAGACAAAGATCCATCCATCCAGAACAGTATACACATAGAACCTCGATATCTGAAAATTTGGACTTGGACCATCTTGGCTTTCAACGGCTCAAATATTTCTCGTCTATATGCTAAATTTGAAATCACTCGATCGAAAAAGTGCTGGGATTCAAAATTGAAGATCAAGGGAGGGGGGGAGTCTGCAAAATGAAAACCATGTTTGAAAACTTTTGAAACCCAAAGATTTCTCGAGGGTGCGGAGCTAGGACATCCTCTGGATCCGTTGCTGCTTCTAAAAGCTTAGTCACAACATGATGAGAGCGAGTGATTCGTTTTGCTATCTGTCTATAGAAATATCCTCCTTAATGCATATTATTTTTATATTTCTATTTTTTTTTTATTTTTATCAGTAAGGCAGTTTTTCAGTTCCATTTTAAGAAAACAACAAATGCTATTCCAATGGCAATATCTAGGAGCCTGCAATACACGTGTACACAGTTAGCACGACGGAAACTAAGAAGTGGTGAGGAGAAATAGCTGTGGCTCTATCCAGGTAACGCGCTCACCTACGATCAAAATGACATATCATTCACTACTGCTGCTGTTTTAAATAATGTGGTTAAACATTTCATATTTATATTTCATTTTTCCTCACTGAACGATGTGACGCACTACGATATTTGTTTTGTATCACATTAAAGTAAAGGAATATAGAACAACTAGCAGTAGTAGTAGCAGTAGAGGTGGGGAACCAAGGCCTGGCAGCTAGGCCACCTTTGATCCTCTTTGCCGACCCCTTAGTTCCAACAGTGTACTTTTTCACAAGCCATCTACTGGTAACTGATACAATAAACGAGTTTCAGCGATGAGATGCACCTAGCGTCATTATTGCATCCATGTACGTTTTACCGACAATACGCAACCCAACATAAATATGTAACATTGAAACAGATCTGTGCATCTTATAAGAAAATGAGTGGACAGTTTGTATAATGAAATAGATATCAAAACATCTGGAAATGGACCGAACCACCATAATCCATAAAGTGTTCAGCTTCCCAACAAAAACCTTATCCTGAGAATGGGGGAAGCGCCGCAGAGGGGCACATCTATGTTTGCATTTAGGGAGGTTTCGTACAACGAAGTCAGAGACACGGTCAATTCGATTAAAAACTCTAAGAGCACTGATGTGTATGACCTTGATAGTAAGATTATTTAAACAATACTGAATATCATCGTATACCCTCTTACAAAGCTTATTAATATTTGTTTAAGGTAAAGCACATTTGCTGCATCTCTGAAAATATCGAGAGTGATACCAGTTCTCAAAGAAGGATCGGTTGACGAACTCTAATCATCGCCCCATATCAACTATACCATACTTTGACAAAACATTCGAGATCATCATCAACGATCAATTGAGTACTCATCTAGAGTCAAACGAACTACTGAATACTTGTCAATTTAGTTTCAGGAAACGTATGTCAAGGACAATCGCGATAGACAGTTTCACCGAAATATACTAAATGAGATATAAATCCGAACACCCAGTTTAAATGGTTTTATTTTAATAAAATTTTGTACAAGAACTTAATGAAGCATAATAAGTAAATGATAAAAAATTCAAAATGATTGCACTGCTTTAAAGCCCTTTGACCTTTAATAATGTGTGGATGCACCCTGATGTGCTACGCATTCTCCAACGCGCCTAGGCATGCTTCTGATCAGGTGGTCAATGTCCTCCTGTGGTATATCATTCCAGGCAACCACCAACTCCTCTCGAAGTGCTTCTAGAGTCTGAGGAGGACGTTGCAAATTGAGCAATCTTCTACCCATCATATCCCACACGTGCTCAATTAGGGATAAGTCGGGAGATCTTGGTGGCCATGGTAACAATGTGACATCATTATGTTGAAAGAAGTCTATTGTGACTCTTGCAACATGTGGTCGGGCATTATCTTGTTGGAAAGTTGGATCTGCCAGGGTGTCAAGATAGGGTAAAAGATGGGGTTCTAGAACTTCGTGGATATAACACTGCGCATTCATGTTACCTCTGATGAAGATTAAAGGTGACCTGGAACCATAAGCTATATCACCCCAAACCATAACTCCAACAGTGTGATGAACATGTCTTTCAACAAAAAACTGTGGATTCTTCCTTTCACCACGTCGCCTTCTAACCCTGGCACGACCATCATGCATGCCTAAACAAAATCGAGACTCGTCACTAAAGACAATACTGTTTCATTCCTGATCCCAGAGTGACTATTGTCTGCACCACTCAAGGCGATTACGTCGGTGTTCTCGAGTTAAAGGGAGGACCCAGTGTGGCCGGTATGAAAACAAGCCAAAACTTCTCACTCGTCAGTAAACATTTCGCATGCCAATAGGTCTTCCGTGTTCTGCAAACCATTCATTTGCAATGGACCTGGTAGTAGAGAAACGGTCCCTTAAGGTAAATAATCTTAGGCGGCGATCTTCACGGTCTGTTGTTGTATGGCGGCGTCCAGTGCCCCTTGCTCTTTGCGTACGGCCTTCTCGAAGCCATGCCTGACAACACCTAACCACACTGTCTACACTTCTTTGCACTCTAACTGCAATTGCCCGAAAAGAAAGTCCAGCTTCCCGAAGTCCCACTATACGGCCCCTATCAAACTCACTAAGGTGACGAAATCGTACAGGTCTCCGTACTCTAGGCATCGTAACCGATCGTAAAGGATGTCAAGAACCAAAATCCGCCAACGTTGATTCTTTACTGTGGCTGAAATATTCATTTTAGAGCGTTAGTGAATTAAAAAAAAAGCAGTATAAAAACCGGAATGTCCAACTGATAAGGCTGAAAAATTTTTCACTTGTTATTTACAGTAAGATAAATACATTCACCAACTTTTATTAAAATAAAACCATTTAAACTGTGTGTTCGGATTTATGTCACTTAGTATAGTTAACGAGGGTTTTGAGAACAACTTATACGTGAAGGCTGCCTTCTTCTAGTTTAAATAAATCCTTTGACTGTGTGAATCATGAGATACTACTGTCAAAGCTTCCTTTTTATTTCATGGGTCCATCCAGTGCCCCGCTTCTCAGGTCTTACCTGTCTGTAAGATAGGAATATGTGGAGTATAAAAATTGCAGATCTACTGTCACCACAATTTTGCATGGGGTTCGTCAAGGATCTCTACTTGGACCATTGTTATTCTTGCTATACATCAATGATATAGAAAATTGTCTCAGTAATGGTACTAGTAGCAAACTGTTCCCGTATGCCGATAATACTACTCCTCCTTCAACTCACAGCAGCTTAGAAAAGCTAGACAACGAATCACCAGCATGCAAGGCGGACATTCAGAACTGGTTTGTCATTAATGGGCTGACATTAAATGAAGACAAAACTCAGACATTGAGTATTTCTGTACGGAATTTTGACAGAAATGATAACAACACAAGAGCAGTAAAGTTTCTCGGGGTGTGCGTTGATTCTTCGTTGACTTCTTTCTGAGAAGGAATCTCACAAATTTAAATAAAAACTCTGGATGTTGAACAATTTTTTTATTAAAAATGCTTCCTACTATCTGAAGCTTTTTTTGATGTAGGAGAGTTCCTTAACTCCATTTTTTCCGGCATGGCATAATTTTTATTGTAATTAGTCCCTTTTTAAATTTTTCAACCAAATCTATTTATTATTAATCTAAATTTTACCTTTAATTTTATTAACGCTTTATTTAGCTTGTATTGCCACTTTTTTATGTCTGTCTCTTTTGCGTATTGTTTGCTATTTTTACTTACTCTTTTATGTTTTATACACCTAAGCTGACTTGTGCAAACACATTTCTTTGTAATAGCACCAACAAATTATTATTATTGTTATTATTATGATTATTTTATTACATAAACACTCAAAAAGGGTGCTCGTAGGATCTAAACATTTATTAGAATACAGATGAAATATAATGATATATTCAACTCTAATAGAGATTCGAAAAACCAAGTAAATTACTACAGCCGAAAGAGCTTTTTTTGATAGAGTTTTCCTCGAACATCGGCTTGCTTTAACCTTAACGTTAACGACAGTCCAACTCTCCCACCTCTTGAATTGGTAGGTGTTTGATCATCAAGTAATATGAAGAAAATCATTTGTTCATCTGATTGTACATGTTCTAACTTTGTTGCTTTTGAATGCGACACCGCCGAATGAATAACCATCTGTCTGCCTCCTCGATCCGAGAAGATCGTTCGGAAAGACCAGTTATTTAGTTCTGTGCTCAGTTTTCGAGAAAAAAGACCTCATGAGTCTTCTGTTCTTTAGCGCGTAAATTCTCAATTGCCTTTTAGTCATGATTCCACTAATTATTCATATAGTGGCTAATTCGATTCTGGGTAACATAATTATAAACAGAAACATTATAGATTAATTTAGTATTTTAGAAC